GCGTTTCCCCACGTAACCACGGATCCATCACCACGGACAGCTGCGAAAGCAAAGGCTGAGGCCTGGATCTGTGTCACGTCCTGCAGCTCTTCTTGCACGCAGCTGCTATCACCGCCGTGGCTTTCGTTACCCCAGGTCACGACGGAGCCATCGTCCAGTATGGCAGCGAAAGCCGAGTGTGTGGCTTGGATGTGCTGCACGTGACTCAACTGACTCTGCACAGCATTGCTGTCACCACCATGACCAGCATCGCCCCAAGTCACAACAGATCCGTCTGCAAGGATGGCGGCAAAAGCGTTGCGAGAGGCCTGAATCTGCTGCACATTCTTCAAGCGACCCTGCACTGCACTGCTGTCACCTCCGAAGCCAGCATCGCCCCAGGTCACGACCGATCCATCTCCAAGGATGGATGCAAACGCATTTTCAGAGGACTGGAGGTGCTGCACGTTCTTCATCAGATCCTGGCCGGGACTGATGCCACCAAAGTTATCGCTGCCCCACGCAACAACAGATCCATCGCCCAAGATGGCGGCTAGCGCTTGGCCGCTGCCGCAGACTCGCACTTTGCAGATGTGTAATGTCAGCGAATCACCACTTCGCAAGCCTGGATTGTGGATTTAGCGTATAGGGATTTATGAATAGGTGCTTCTATAGGACCATATGGGAAATGATCAAGTTTTCCCAAAGTGCCAGCTAGAAGCAGGCTTGCTGAAGAGTGGCTGATCCATCCAAGACGCGCCCAGAAGGGTCGATAAGGCGGCCTTTTCCGACTTGAAGAGCTTCCTCTGCACGACTTTTCACAGCCTCCACCAGGTCCTCCGATCCCGCTTCCAATGAAACTGTTCTGCCACTTACCAGGCTCACCTCAAGAGTAAGGACCATGGAGTGTGAAACGCCTTCGAGAGCCCTGCGCTGGGGACCGGTTTAGGGTTTAGGGTTTTGGGTTTTGGGTTTAGGGTTTAGAGTTTAGGGTTTATGTTTTCCGGGCTTCCCATGACGACTTCGAAGTTTCTGCTCCTTGGCTGATGGGTACTGGGCTCTGAAGGGAGCAGCCAAGAGCGTAGAGTCGTAAGTCACGTGTATCTGAACGTAGGCGAGAGGCCTATACCTCCTCCCAGTACAGTAGATGGCTCTCAACGAAATCCGAAACTCCAAACCAAGCAAGCCAGAGCCCTAAACTCTCAAACCCAAGCACTCGCTTCGGGCCAGTCTCGGCTGAGGCATGGAGGTCCATTGAATCCGTAGACCAGAAGCCCAGAGACCCCCCACCACCCGTTAGGTAAGGACGGTACCGTAAATCATGATCTGAAGCCCCACGGAAATAAGGTACATGGGCTCCCAGTGAAGTCGAGCCGTGAAGCACTGCATGGCTATGCCGGTTTCTCAGGATCTCCGGCTTTAGGATTTCAAGGGTCTATCACTCAGGAAATGTTACAGGCCTTAAAAACTAGAATGGGTTTCCGGTGCATGTTCATGGTGTAGTGTTCTAGGTGTAGTGCTATAGCGACTAGAGGGAGATACTTCTACTGTGAGGCCTTATGATTAGAACAAGGGAGGAACAGTAAGGAATACTATCAGTAATGCTTCAGTACTGCTTCAGGCTTCTATCTACGGAACAGGCTTGCAGGGTTCAGGGCACCAGCACATGGTCTGAGAGATCCGCCTTCGGTCCACCAGCTAGGATGTTCTCGATCATGCCCGGATACCTGGAGAGGGCTTTGGGGTTTAGGGGGCCGGAAGGAAACTCATGTCTTCGGCTTCAACATGATTTTTGGGCTGCAGCTGCTTCGATGAAGGAAGCTTCGGATTTACACCCCTGTCCATGAAACGAGGATGGAAGTCTTGAATCTGGCACGTCCGGTCGAAGGATTCGCGACGAGAGTCGAAGAAGCTCCCGAAGATCATGTTTTAGGGCTTCTTTTTTTGGGTTTTAGGGTTTTGGGTTTAGGTCCGGGAGTTCGATGAACACATTCAAAGAGGCAGGCACAGCGGGGTTCTGAGCGCAATGCCCACCCTAGGAACTGGATCCTACCGATGCCTTCGCGACCTAATGGCCTCTCTGCGCGCTTCCGCCGAACTGACGCTCCCCGTCAAGAGTGGAAGGGAACATGCTGTCTGCGACTCCCTAAACCCTAAACCATGCATGTGAGTTTCTTCGGTGCGGGAGTGTGCTGCCTTTAGTTTATGCCAACAGTGCTGAGTGATTGATTGACTGATGCTCTTCTGAACATCGTTTCGGTAAGTCCTTGCCGCAACTTTGTACTAAGGGTTTAGGGTTTAGGGTTTAAGGTGTAGGATCAAGGGTTCAGGGTTCCTTAAATGTCCCGGCCCACTTGTGGCAAGAAACTCCCACTTGTCGGGAGCCCAAATGCAAAACAGCCTACTAAGAAAATCTACAACCCTGATAAAAAAAAACAGCAAAGGCCTATACAACCTTTATACTAGAACCAAACAACTGGCAAACATAAACCCTAAACCCTAAACCCTAAACCCCTAAACCCTAAACCCTAAACCCTAAACCCGACTGGTGGACTCGCGATCCTGAAGCTGCCGAGTGCGGAGGGCACCAGCTGCACTCCATGAGCCCATCGTAGACCCGCACGGTCTCGTGGAGTTCAGCAGCATGCCGCTCCTTTTCAAGCAGTCTAAGGTGAGTTGTGGTTGAACGCCCCTGGTTCGGTCCTATGCTGTGCTGCTTTTCCACAATCCCCTTGTTTAGGGCTAAGGGTTTGTAATTCGGGGTTGAAGGTTGCGGTGAACTAAAAGGAGCTCTGAATGCTGCTGGCTGGAAGTGCGTGATAGTCTATGATAGCTCCGTGTGCCCGCAGAAACTGCAATCCTGGACTAGGCCGTTGAAAATCCATAAAGACCAGCCAACATCCCTAAACTCGAATCCGACAACATCCATCCCGGCCCATCCCCCAAAAAAAAGAGAAAAGCCCCTGGCCCAAAACCAAATAATAGGCCTGGATAAATAGAGTAGGGTTTAAGGGGTGTCTTGCACTATACTCATGGTTCACCAGTGTCCTGCTCGGGGCTCAGGCCAAAATCGAAAACGCTGGCCGGCTTTGACATCCAGGGGTAGACAACCTGGAACCGTGGTCTAGGCTTTAGGGTTTAGGGAACCGCGAAGAGCAAGAGGTGGGCGTCGGGGGTTTGAGGCCTCGCTCTCGAAATCGTGCTTTGAGGGCTTGTGATTCTCGGAACTTCCTGATTCAAGGAGGACGGTTGAGGGGCCTGGGGGCAAAATACGGTTTAGGGTTGAGGGCTTAGGGGTTTTACCCCGGCTACGATTCGAGCAGCTGCTCCTCACAGTTTCGAGCTTGTTAGTAGAAACCTCGGATCGAGTCATGCGATGCACTTTGGCCAACAATCAACGGTTTTGGTCCATGCATCTACAAGAAATGCCTATGCCTTCGCCAGCTGCTCTGACTCTACAGCTGTTACAGGAAAGGACCCCAAACCCTAAAACCCCGGGCTTTATAATTAGGATAGAGGGGTTTTCGTGGTATTATGATACTGAGATATACAAGAAATCCTAGCCCCGACGCCACGCCTTCCGCTTTGACCAGTGCCTGGCAACCATGGACACCCCACGGCCGTGTTTCCGGGGAGTCCCCCGGGCTGCCACCGCCAATGGAAGGCGGTGCATGGCTCTCATGGCTCAAGAGCTCATGAAGGTTCAGGGTTCAGGGTTTAAGGTTCAGGGTATAGGGTCTTGGGTTCAGGACCTTTGACCTAGCACCTCCAGGCCGTTGGCCTTTCCGTTTAGGCTTTACTCGAGATAACTCGAGCCAAAGAAAGGAAGACAAAAGTGCGAAACGGCCAGGGGATACATGCCCTGATCCCACAACACCTAATCCCTAAAACCCAGACCCTAAAGCATATCATCTAAGGTCCAGTGTCGTACTGTCTAAGGCCGTGCCCGCCCGTAGTCCGAACAAGATTTAGGGCTCCTTGAAAGTCTAGTTATAACAAGGGTTTAGGGTATAGGGTTTAGGGTTTAGGGTATTATCGGTAATTATTTAAGCTTGTACAGTACCTCTTGACTCTGATTCGACGACCTCAACTCAAGTGCGCATCATCCAGAAGCCAATCCTGTTGAAGCCATGCAAGACTTCCTAAACCACTTCTAGAACACGTATGTCGGTCAAAGGAACCCGACTTCCTAAACCCCTTGTAGACCCGTTATAGAACCCTTGTAGAACCCCTATAGAACCCTTATAGAACCCTTACACACCCCTCAAAAAAACCAGTGAAGGAGCCAGGTAACCGGGGATTTTGCAGTTCCGCGACGTGTTGCCTCGGCCCTGAGTCTTCTGCTATGTGAGGCTTTGGGGCTTCAAGAAACGGCCGGGTTTGGGGTTAATGGTTCAGGGTTTAGGTTTAGTTCGGGCTTTGGGTTTAGGGTTTCGGGCTTGGGGTTTGGGCTTTGTGGTTTGGGGCTTGGGAGGCCGAGAGCCTGTTTTTTTCGGGGCCCTGCGTAGATTCTCGGACACGTCGAACCAAGCCGCCCTTCGCTTGAACAGGAAATTCCTACGACCCTGAACCTAGCCGCCCTTAACCCCATGAAGCCGAACCCTGCAGCCTCGACCCATAACCCCAAAGCATTCGGAACAGCCTAAAATCTTCTCACACAAGGCCTTGTGGCGCAGGGGCAGGGGCAGGGGCAGGAGGGAGAGCAAAAGTTTTGGCTAAGTCCCCCCCCCGGACTGGAGCCGCCTAGGTCCCTCAATTCTGTTCGCTGTAAGGTGCGAGGCTTTTTGGGGCCCCATTTTGGAGGTCCGGCACCAAACGTGCTCCGGAACCGGGTCCGACGTGGGTGCTACGGTCCCCATTGGCTGTGGAAGGCGGGCTGGCGTACTGGTCGGCTTTTCGCGATCGATGGTGAGGGGCTTAAGCGTGGCCCAGCCACAGTACGTGGGCGGCCTATGCCTTGAGTTTAGGGTTTAAGGCTTCGGGTTTAGGGTTTCCCCCATAAAAAGTCACCCGACTCTGGCCTAGCAGGTCCTTCAGCTCGCCGACGTCGTATGTCAACTGATCCAGATCCTGGCAATGCAAGGCTGCAAACATAATTACAGAAAACAATGATGCTGCGTCTAGTTCTTGGCTATGCCGATGTTAAGATGTGATCTGACCCTTGTAAATCTGACCACTCTTGAGCTCTGGCACCAACCCGTTGAACGAATTTCTCGAAGCATGTATTCTCAAAGCTCCACCCACAGGGACTTATGGCCATCAGCGTTCGCAAACAAACCCTTGGCGCACCCTATGAAACTGCAGGACTCGCGTGAACATGATGAATACATACTGACCACTTAACCTGCAACGCTTCTGCTGACTCATCCACCTCTACTACGCATCGCCACATGACATATGCGAAATGCCCGCAAATTATGCCCAGAATTTCCCTGCTTGTACCATCAATACTATGTCTGCATCAAACCAGACTGTGACCAGAGTGATTCGACGACGACGATGACAACGCTGGCGACAACGACCACGGCCACCACGACCAAAACCACAGCAGCGGAGCATACGCAACAATCCCAAGCCTTTCCAAGTGAAGCTTCCACACAACAGGGACAGTTAAGGGACAGGATGGGACGTCCAACACCAAGCGAACGAGAGCGCGGGCGGCAAGTCCAGCAGGGCCTGCCATAGTAGGGACGATTTTATAAAACGAAGGCGAAGGGGGCCTGCAGCACAGAGAACAGAGGCCAACAGATTCATCATTGCTTTTGTCAAAATCGTCCCGGTCGTCATCATGATTGAGCTGAGAGGGATTTATCATCACCGCCGTCGCAGTCGCATATGCAACTTCCATGGCCAACACCAAAATCTTTCACAAGTTCGACGGATTCGCACTGCCTAAGTTTCATAACATGCTATATTACATTGTCTTATGCTTTGCTGCTGTATGTTCTGGCTATGTTAAGTTTTACTGCATAACCGTATGCTATGTTATTTTATGTTATACCGTCCCATATGGTGTAATATTGAAGTCACACGATGTTGCAGCATAGCTTGACTATTGCCCTTATATTCGGAACTGACAATGGCTCAGGCCTGACATAGCGCGAGTGTCCGGAATAATGGTAAGATTCGGATCAAACACATGCGCTCGTGGTGCAAAGTTTCAGGTTCGCAAGACATGCCTTCGATGAAGAACCTGTGGGTAGGAGGTGTCTTCGGCATGAAGATGCTGGGAACACTTTGAACTGAGGAACCTTCCTCAAGTGAAAGTACAGATCTGGTGTTCATAGCGATCAAAAGTCTTATGCATTCACCTTGGTCCGACGGTGTTCAGCACAGAGTGCACTTGCTGCAAGAATCGTTTTCAAGCGACACAGACGCACACACATACATATACCCACGGTCCACAATTGAGCAATCAAACGCAAGTTTTGGTGACCCCGCAGCGTTTCGCGCCTGTGTAGAACAATTGTGCTGCATGGAAAGTACCGACAACCTTGAAGTTATGATTACTGCCAAACGTCGAGAAACGTGTGCAATAAATGACCCCGTCTCTGACGTGTATCGCGCCGTGATATCATAACTACATCGTGTCTTTGCCGACGTTGCCGCGGTTCTACTTCTACAAAACCAAAAGCTGAACAAAACACATCGCCCCCTACGTGTTTGCTAGAAGCACGGTAATGTTTTCTATTCTTTCTAAAGCCTCTATCCATGTAGTGGGAACCAAAGGGGCTTCCAACATATCGTACAGAGAAGAAGGGAAAGAGAGAGAGAGAGAGAGATATATATATATATATGTATAAATAGAAAATGAAGGAACATAAAAGAAAAACCAAGACATGCGTGTTGTACCTGTAATAACCAGCCGGGCTAGACACAGTTAGCCGTTCATCCCAGCAGCCCCGTCATCACGTGACCCTAGCCCGACTTCTCCCACATGGAACAAGGTTCTCGGACGAAAAGCGTACTTGCAAGGAATGGAAACCGTAAAGCCCAAGCCCCAAAGACCAGCATGACAAGCCTAGCATCCAAATTAGTAGACGGAAAGCAAAAACCTTGGTGACCGTGCGGCAGCGGAGCCAAGTCCTAAATCCTATACTCCACCAGCCTTCTACAACAAAGGCTGAAAACAGATGCTGCAAGCTCGAACCACGAATCTCAAACCCTAGACCCTAAGCCCTAAAACTCAAACCAAAAGGGAGCCGGAAAATTGCAACCGCAGCGTCCGAGTCGTCTTCGGGGCAAGTTCTCATCCCACACGAAACCCAGAAAGCAGCAAGGAAGGGCCTTAATAATTAGAATAGGATTTTGGGGGGGTTCCTTAACAGGGTTCCTTAAAGGGTTCTATAAGGGCTACTAGAAGGGTTTAGGGTGTAGGGGCCTTAATAATTAGAATAAGGTTTTGGGGCCCATTAACCTATAACTATAACAGGGAACCCCCAAAATAGTATAGTAGATTATTTAGGCCCCAATATTACCCCTTCAATTCCCTATATTCACGGGGGTGCAGCCTGAACCTCAAAGCCCAGAAGGCCTCCTTGCAAGCCCGGGCTTGGGGTCTAGGGTTTAGGGTTTAGGGTTTTAGGGTTTAGGGTTCAGGGTTTTAGAGGTTTAAGGGTTTAGGGTTTAGGGTTGAGGGTTTAGGGTTTAGCTCGGCTCAAGCCCCTGAAGCAATCTTGCAGACCCTGCAGCCCTAAAGTGAGCTGAGGAAAAGCCCCCCCCCTCAGAACCCTAAACCCTAAACCCAAAGCCCAGCTGTTGATGACGGACCTCAGCCATCGTGTCCAAGCCTGCAGCACCACCTGCACCATCAACCTGAGGTAGCTGCTGGGAGCTCTTTTCCTTTCAGCTGGATACCTACAGGGGCTTAGAGTTGAGGGCTGGGGTAATAATTTTGTGATGGTAAGACTTACCCTAAACCCCTAAACCCGAAACCCTTTTGAGGTTTTGGGGGACTGACAAGCTAGATCTCCCCTGAATCACCTTTGCAACCTGTCAGTTGCTATTCCCCAAACCAATTGGTTTGAGGTTACGGCTTCTAGTTTAGGGTTTAGGGTTTAGGGTTTAGGGTTTAGGGTTTAGGGGAAAGGTGCCTTGAACCCTAGATTCACGAGAAGAGGACGCTCTTGTTCTACCAATGCCCACTAGCCTGAAACCTAAACCCTAGGCTGCCCACCGAGAATCTGCAAACAGGAAACTCACTCGGAACCTCCTCGAACTCTTCCCGTGTTGGATTTTAGGTCTAGGGTTTAGGATGCAGAGGGGACATGAGTATACACGTGCATTCATGCATGCTATGCAAGTACATATGTGTGACATTTATATGCACACACAGCTTCTGATCTCCGCTATGTTGGGCTGCTTGCTGGTCTCTTGCATGCTTTCCGTTTTGGGCTGCTCTTTTGCCCAGACCGGCATTGGGGCAAAATGCCTCACACAAGTCAAGACGCAGGAAACGCAAGCAGACACGTCCCCGTGGATGCATGTTCAACCGGCGAGTATTCTCTGATCCTGCTACGACAATCAATGATTGCAGCTTACACTGAAGCTGCTGCACAGACACGTTTCGTTGCTGCAGCACCACGACTGACGTGGCTGAGCTTCTTATCCTCAGCACGCCAACAAAAGCCGAGAGCGGAATAACACCACATGGAGGAGCAGGGGACTCGGCAAAGAATAATTGGGGCTTAGGGTTTAGAGTTTAGGGTTAGGGCTAAGGGTTTTAAAACCTTTATGTCAGGCAATGTATATAGGGTTGAGGACAACGGCAACCGTACCTGAGGACGCGCGGATTATCCAATTCCACACCTGACTCTCGTCTTAAACGCACCCAGAAACCCTAAACCCCAAACCCTAAACCGTCAGAACGCCCAGGCCCCAAAACCCCAAACCAGTTTGGAAACTCCGGCCTGAACTAGGGTTTAGGCTTGGGGTTTAGGGTTTAGGGTCTGGGGTTTAGGGTTTAGGGTTTACGGTTTAGGGCCTGGGGTCTGGGGTTTAGGGTTTAGGGTTTAGGGTTTGTGGTTTGGGGTTTGGGTTTTGGGGAGGGCTACGTGTTGGGTTCTCGCGAGCAGCACTTGGGGAGTCTTGCAAAAAGAGAAGGCCCAAAAGCGCCCCAGATAACCTGCTGGCTAAATCCGAAGACTCAAACATCTTGCTGGGTATAGGGTTTGAGGTTCAGGGTTTAGGGTTTAGGGTTTAGGGTTTGGGGTTTAGGGTTTAGGGTTTAGGGTTTGAGGTTTAGGGTTTAGAGTTAAGGGAAGACGGGAAGCCCCGACCCTGACTAACCCCAACACCTCAAGCCATGAACTCTGTCTCACGAAAGAGACAATAAACCCCTTAAGCCGTTTAGGGTTTAGGGTTTAGGGTTTATGGGTTTAGGCCTAAACCCTAAGCCCTAGACCCCCTAACCCCCAATTACTGAGCGCAGCGGCGAAATCGGTTTGCACTGCGACTCGAAATCTTGCAAGCAGGTGGCCACCTCTCTAGGGTTGAGCTGCAAGGGTTCCTTTAAGATTCCAGAAGAGTTGTTCTGAGGATTCCATGAGAGTTCAATAAGAGGGTTTGAAGGTTCAGGTCTTTGGGGCTTTGTAGGCTTCGAAGGTCCAAGAGCTTAGGGCTGCCGGTGTTTAGGTCTAGGGCCTTAGGTGTTGCAATGCGGGGATCTCTGAATGATGTTCGCGAAAGACATCAGAACCACAAGGCTAGGGCGTACGGCTTAATCTTCTACGGTGTAGAGTTCGGGGGTGTACGGACTCAGGTTTGCGGTTTGGGTTGAAGCCTTAGGATGGAGGGCTTCTGAAATTGGGGATTTTACGGCAAAGGGTTGGGGGAGTCATTGCACACAAAGCGTCAGTTGATCTATGCGTGATTACACCCGCCAGCGCCTCCTCCGACACTTCCCTGGAAAATTTGCTCATACTGAAAACTGGCAAGACCATTCCGGGAGAGCGACTACATGGCAACGACCATAGGACACAGCAAGACATGGTATACGTGTACCACTGAAACACCCATTTTGACTACTGTTCACCCAAGAAACCGAAGTAAGTCCCCATAAAACTATCGATTACGCAAACCAAGTTCCAGCCTTTAACTCCCAAAACCCTAAACTTGAACCCTACGTGACAGCACGGAAGTTCGCAAGCCGTGAAAGTCCCAGCCTTAGCATGCGGGGATCCGAATGATGCAGGGAGGGTTTATTCTTTCTACAAGGTTTCTACAAGGGGTTTGAAGATATCGGGATTTTATGTGTATGTCTAGGGCTTTGAGAATGAAACATGCGCAGAGCTTGGGGGTTTACGTCGAAGATTCTGGGACTCTGAACTCTAACTAGGGTTTAGGGTTTAGGGCTTAGCCCCTCACTCCGATACCCTAAACCCTAAACCCGGAACCCTAAACCCACGATGTAAGGCCTGGGGGTACGGAGGTGGGGGCCCAACCCTCAGGGCCACAACCCGAAAGTCTTAAACACAAAGACCCAAACCCCCAAACCCCAAACCCCCTCTACCACATAAACCGGGGCTTTAAGTTTGAGTTGTAGGAATTCTCGAAGCTAAAATCATGAAAATTCGCTAGGTTTGAATTGAAGCCTCAGGCACCGAACCCGAAGACCCTGCCTGCTTCATGATCTGCGCATCTTCACCGGTCTTCCGGGAAGGGAGGACGCCATCGTCACCTCCTGCATTGTGCCTTAAACCCTAAACCCTAAACCGCGGATTCGGGCTTTTGAGTGTATGGTTTTAGGATCAAAGGTAGCAAACATCCGCAGAATTCCTGGCCCCTGCGGCCTGCGCACTGCGCACCCAGAATCCCGAAAGCCCAACATCTCGAGCCAAGCCCTCGCCGCAACCAAACCCCAAGCACGATCCTCGAAAAACCCAAAAGCACCAAGGGTCCGGAGCGTAGGGTTTAGGGTTTAGGGTTTGGAGTTTAGGGTTATTCCCCTCCCACCCGCACCAAGCCCAGTTAAAGGGGACCCTAAAGGAGCCCTGGTTGAACCTGTTCCCTTGAAAAAAGTCCCCGACCTCAAACCCTAAACCTTGCATCCTAAACTCTAAACCTAGAACCCTAAACCCGAAACCTCAAAGGCATCCCTTGAAGGGGACCCTTAAACGGGGTTTAGGGTTTAGGCCAAAACTCGGATTGAAAACCTCAAAGGAAGAAACCCAGGCCACACCTGCAGTGCCCTCCAGGGCGGCGAGACGCGCCTCGAGGTCTTGCAGCTTGGCCTGCCTCTTCAGCGGTTTAGGATTTTGGGTTTTGGGTTTAAGGCTTAGGGTTTAGGGTTTAGGGTTTGGGGTTTAGGTTTAAGGTTTAGAGATTAGGGATTTGGGGTTTCGGGATGCTTATGCTTTAGGATTTTTGGCCCAACTTTTGGTTTAGGGGATCCGGGTTTAAGGGTGCTGGGGATTGGGGGCTTAGATTATGGCGTTGAGGTTGAAAGTGTTGGGCGTATGTTTTGGGTTTGGGCTTACGGGCTTTCGGGTTTAAAAGCCCAATCAAAAGCTGTACAGAGCTTTGGGTTAGGGTTTTCGGGGTGTCGTTTGGGTCTGCGACCTGGCGTCTTGGCGTTCGAAGGATAGTATTACGGCTGATGATGTAAATCCTGTAGTACCCCATAATAAGGAATATACCATAAGTCCCATAGTTTAGGGTATGCTAAACCCTAAACCCTAAACCCTATAAATCCCTTTAAAGCAACCCTTTAGGGTCCTTAAGGTCCTGCAGGATATTCAGTAAGGCTCCTTGTCTGGGTTTTGTGATGCGGCTTCAAGGCTCTAAGGTCTCGCGGTTTAGGGTTCAGGGGTTTAGGTTTAGGGGCTTCGGGTTTAGAGTTTAGGGGTTTAGGGTTTAGGGGTTCAGGGTTTAGGGATCAGGGTTTAGAGTTTGG